GTAATCTGTGATGAATTAAATGGAAAGAACATTAAAAAATGTGTTAAGACACAATGTCTGGCAATAATAGTGAAGAAAAAAAAGTCCGCTGTCCTGGCTTATATAAGAACTAAACCTTTCTATTGAAATGTTAGTTTACTCTAAACATGATAATAAGTTTGTAGAAATTGTTTACCATCTGAATCTATTTTTTGGATAATAAGCAACAGCTACTCAGTTCTTGCTAACTATATAAATCTTTATACTACCCTTTCTTTAGCTGGTAAATACATTTCTAGGATTGTACCCCAAGGTCACACTTGAATATGTAAACAAAAATTTACATAAATTTGGGGTTATAAATAAAATTTAATCTAAAAATATCAGGCTTTTAGAAATTAACTGTATGATAGTAAGACTAAAGAACGGTGATAGGTTTTGACTACGGTATCAAACCTATGTAACTAAATTGCTAAGAATGCTTCTGAACTTGGGATCCTCCTGCTTCAGCCTCTGGAGCCACTGGGATTATAGGCATGCACCACCGTGCCCAGAAAAACAATCCTAATTTTTAAGACTTTTCTTCAAAAAGACTTTCTTGAGTACCAGCTATGTACTGGATCAGTCCTGTCCTAGACACAAGGAATAAAACATGAGCAAGATAGGATTTTAATTCCAAACAATGACCCAGTGATGGTGGCGCAAACCTGTAATCCCAGCAACTCAGGAACCTGAGGATGACCACCAAGTTTGAGGCCAGCCTTAGCAATTTAATGAGACCCTCAGCAACTTAGTGAGACCCTATCTCAAAATAAAAATAAAAGGGCCTGGGGATGCAGCTTAGTGGTAGAGCATGCCTGGATTCAATCCCCAATATCTATCCCCACACCCCCCCCCAAAAAAAATCCAAGCTTCTTTCTGTTGACTTCATGTTTACAATCTGAATAAACACAATTATTACTCTAGGTTAAAAAAAATTAAATAATGGGTCATTCTTTTAAACCATTTTAGTTGTCTTTACAAGTCAATCTGATATAAACACTAAACACTACCTTAAATCAGTCAACTCATATTCGAAATAACTGTTTACCTATTTAAGATAAATTATGAAACTTAAGATGATATATTCTATTCCTAGTAAAGTGGTTAAATAAATTAGAATACACCATATTCTCCAATATATTTCAAAAGTTAAATTGTGGAACCAAGCCAGGTGCCCTTCAGTAGATGAATGGATAGGGAAACTTTGGTATATACATACAATGGAACATTACTCAGCATTAAGAGAATAAAATCATGGCAAAAAAAAATTTGCAGGTAAATGGATGGAGTTGGAGAATATAACGCTAAGTGAAGCAAGCCAATTCCAAAAACCCAAAGTCCCAATGTTTTCTTTGATATAAGGATGCTGACTCATAATGGCGGTGGGGGGGGGGCATGGGAGGAATGGAGGAACTTTAGATAGGGCAAAGGGGAGGGAGGTGAGGGGAGGGAGGGGAGGGAAGAGGGCAAGGGGATGATGGTGGAATAAGTTAGATATCATTACCCTAAGTACATGTATGAAGACACGAATGGTGTGAAAATACTTTGTGTACAATCAGTACTTGAAAAACTGTGCCCTATATGTGTAATATGAAATGAATTGCATTCTGCCATCGTGTATAACAAATTAGAATAAATAAATAATTTAATTAAAAACATATCTTAAATAGATGATTCTAGTTCAGGATTCCTTGAATTCCAAAAGAAAACTCTGTGGGTCTTGTAAATCTTATTTTGACTCACTCCATTAGATTAAAAAGCACGATCATAAATTATTCTGAGCTGGGTGTGGTGGCAATGTCTATAATCCCAGCAACTCAGGAGTCTGAGGCAGGAGGACCTCAAGTTCAAGGGCCTGCTCAGCAACTTAGTGAGGTCTGAGGCAGGAGGACCTCAAGTTCAAGGGCCTGCTCAGCAACTTAGTGAGGTCCTGAGCAACTCAGAGAGACCCCATCTCAAAATAAAAAATAAAAAGGGCCGAGGATGTGGCTTAGTGGTAAAGTACCCCTGGGTTCAAAAAATAAATTATTCTGACACCTATGTTAAACTTCTGCTAAGGGACACATTCTTATACTTTTTCTAAACCCTATTATCCTAACTGAAAGGTTCTCTGAGGCAGCACCTTAGAATTTTCTAAGGTCTTAACAAAGGAACTTTGGATATTTTTGGTATTCAAGAAACACCTTGCCCCTGTAATCCCAGAGGCTTGGGAGGCTGAGGCAGGAGCATCTAGAGTTCAAAGCCAGCCTCAGCAATGGCGAGGTACTAACCAACTCAGTGAGACCCTGTCTCTAAATAATATACAAAATAGGGCTGGGGATATGGCTCAGAGGTTAAGTGCCCCTGAGTTCAATCCCTGACCCCGACAAAAAAATTCTTAACTAGATGGTTCTGGCTTAGGATTCCTCACCAGGTTTGAGTCAGGACACTAGGCAAGTTATTGTCATTGAAGATTTTGTCTGGAGATGAACTGTCAAATGTAAATGTGGCCACTGTCCCAAGGCTTCAGTTCCTCACCCCATGGACATCTACATAGAGTAGCTTGAATGTCCCCATAACATAGCAAGTGGGCATTCCCAGAAATAGTGGTGTATGAGAAAGACAGAAGACAGAAGCAGCAATAACCTACCCCTGGAGTCATACGCTGTCATTTCTACAATTATCTTTGTTAACAACACAACTCGCTAATAGTACACACTCAAGGGGTGGGAGGATTACATTCCACTAAAAAGAAGAATATTAAAAATCTGTGATTCTCCTTTAACACCACTACAGTATTTTTAAAAAACAAATTAAAACTTGATACAAAAATGGTTCTTACTGAAATGACATTTAAATGAAAGGCTAGTATCTCTAGGGATAATGCCTATCTTCTATTTTATTATGAAAAAGAAAACTAAGCAAGTACTTTAGTGTCTAAGATATAGAGACTCCTTTAGTGGTCTGTGTGTAAATTACTGGACTGAGGGCACTAGAGATACTAGTGTACTATGAAGCAGGGATCTTATGGAGATAAACAGAATAATTATTCTTACTGCTTTTGCTACACCATAACCCTCTTTACCAGCTTCCCTTTCCTGATTCTAATTTTTTATTACTTTGCATGTCTCTATAATAACCTTCTCCTGGTTCATATCTTTTGCTTTTCTTACTCTGTGGCAAAACCTTGACACACATAATACTATCAGGGAACATGATTTTGAAAATAAATATTTTTTACAAAATTAATTGCTACTTGCATAAAGTCTGACAAACAATTATGTTACAGCATTTATTTCCCCACACAATGTTAATTAAATATAGAAATTATGTGAGACCAAATCAGAAGGATATTAAAATAAAAAAAAAAAAAACAGGTGCGATGGCACACATTTATAATCCCAGTGACTTAGGAAGTTGAGGCAGGAAGATCACACTCTCAAGGTCAACCAGGGCCACTTAAGGATGGTAGCACATTTATAACTTTCTTTTTTTCTTGACAGGTTCTTGCTATATTGCCCAGGCTGGCCTTAAACTCATGATTATCCTGCTTTAGCCTCCCAAATAGCTGGGACATACCACCATGTCTGGCTTCTTTTTTTTTTTCCTTTCTCTTTAAGTGGTGCTATATGTCTCAAATTTTCTAAAACAAACATTCATATTTCAGATTTTACAAGTATTAAAATGAGCAACTGTGTACATAAAACATTTTGCCATGTCTTTATGTCAAAACTATTTTATAAAAATAACGAGTAGTAATATATCAATATGACATATATGTATGAATTTGGGTATTTTAACTTATAAAAATTTAATACTTTTAGCAGCAAATACGAAAAACACAGAAGAGCATTAAAAAGAAAGCTAAATTGCTTAGAATTCCACCTTAAAGGTAAACAACAAAAGCATTTTAACATTTTGGCTAAGTAATGAGGAAAACTGATAACAAAATTTTAATAGTTGCATGACAAATGTACCTTATTCAACCATTCCCACCATCCTATTATTTAGATAGTGCCTTAACTTTTTAAATCATCAAATATTTAAATACATATACACACAATATTAAATCCATGTATAAAAATTTTTGTGTATGTTTTCTTCATATACATTGCTACAAACTGATTCCCTAGATAAAGAGACACAAATGTTTCTTTTTTTAAGTTACTCTTCAATTGACACCAGTAACTTATGAGATTTCAAAAGAAATAGATTCTGTAGGTTTAAAAAATTAGAAATGTCAACATGTGAACAAGTAGAGGTTTTTAAACACATACTGACAAACTGTTTTCTAGAAAAAAATTTACCAATCTGCATTCTCTTCAGTGGGGCATCATGGGGCAGTATCATTTTTTAAAAAACTTCAGTCATTTGACAACTAAAACTGTTAATTTGCTTTAATTTATATTATCTTTTAATTATAAGTTAGTCCAAACACAATGGTATCCATATGCTCATGAGTAATCTGCAATTCCTCTTCTGTGCATTTTTGTATGTAAGAACCTTGCCCATTTTTTTCTGGGGATGGGGTGTCTATAATATGTGTTAGTTTGGCCAGGCTATGCTCAGTGCCCATATTTTAGTCTAGATGTTGCTATGAAGGTGTTTTTTAGATGCAACTAACATTTAAATCAGTAGACATGAAGTCAAGGAGATTTCCCTTAGCGCTGGTAGCCTCATTAAACAGCTGAAAAGGACTGAGATCTGCCTGGAAATCCAAATGAAGACACACCATGTCAATTTCCAGCATGCATGCTCGCCTGCCTGCCCTGTGGATTTCAAACTTTTGAACCACCACACTCCTGTGTACCAACTCCTTAAAGAAATAAAAATAAAAAAACTCTCCCTCTACACATACTGGTTCTATTTCTCTGAAAAAAACAGACAAATATAGCATCTTTGAATATTTTTAAATAATTTATAGGTTAGTTAGTACTACGTCTAGTGATTTCCTCTACATCTTTTATGTTTAGAAATTCTTTTCAAGCCAAAGTACTTACTTGTAAGTCATCAGCTCCTTCAGCTTCATTTTTCAATGCTGGGCATCCTAAGAACACAGGTAAAAGTTAATTAAGCATAGCATTTCTGTCTTAGATTTTAGTATTCATTTTTAACTGGTGTCATTAAATCCCTTCAGAAGACTGATCAGAAATCATTCTGGGCTGCCTGGCAACCCAGTTAGATATTGGTCACTGGTTCTTATCCTGTTGTTAAAAGGTGTTCCTTCACCTACAGATAAATTTCCAGTTACTTACTAAAGAGATGTTTCCTCTTCAGAATTTATAATGTCTTGTAATAGAGAGAAAATGACTAATGTTTCACAGTAATTTTCCTGAAGTAGAAATTAGATTGTTTTTCAAATTCTAATCTTTTTAAAGTAGCATTTTGAAAACAATATCTATACTAAGCATTTACATGTTCCTGTTATTTTTCTCATAAATTAGTTCATTTCTTCAAATTTCCCTGTAACATGCCCTTTTAAAAATATATAAATCATAATGTGGTCTTACATGTTTTGATTCAGTTATTTTTTATATAGAAAGTTATCTCTATTAATAAATATATTTTCCTTCCTAATTAGAAAAAATGTATATCTCAGTTATTTCTCCCTTTATGTAAAAGTTTTAATGTGATTTCTTTTTGTTTAAATAAGCATTAAGCCAGTTTTACATGAAAATAAATACTTCCTTAAAAATCCACATTTTAGGAGCTGGGACTGTAGCTCACTGGTAGCACCACTTGCCTAGCACACGTGAGGCACTGGGTTTGATCCTCAGCACCACATAAAAATAAATAAATACAAAATAAAGGGCTGGGGCTATGGCACTTGCCCTTGAGGTAGTGCACTTGCCTGGCCTGGGTTTGATTTTCAGCACAGCATATAAATAAATAAAATAAAGGTCTATCAACAATTAAAAAATATATTTAAAAAAATCCACATGCTTTAGAAATTAATCACCTTGACAGACCACAAATACAGCAGAATATCTCCCTAGGATTTTGATAGATCTTACTGGTTCCCTCTTCTTCAAACTCTTTATTTTAAAACATTAGTCTTAGCTGAAGGCTACTGATATGTGCCAAATAACAAATGCAATTGGTAGAGACTATAATTTGACAAATATAAAATTGGCTAAGGAGTCCATTATTTCATCTTTACCTATTGTGAGATTTCCAGGCCTGATCACACAATGTAAAAGCTGGTAAGAACTACTGTGGGTTAACTTTTAAGAAAGATGACCTCTACTCTGTATATTTAACACATAAACTGATAAATAATCAAGGAAACCTACCTTGAGAAATATCCTCGATGGCTCTTCGAATGCCTCTATCAAAAGCCCTAGCATCAGCAGGACTTTGAAAGGTAAGGCCAAATTTCTTGTCATCAATCTTCCAGTGGTGAAATGTTGGAGTGACCTTATTATAAATAAGGTCTTTTTTAAGCATACATTCCAAAACCACCTGTCAAAAGTCATATACCAACATTAACATATGTATTTCAAATGTATCTAAGGTAGCTCTTAGTTACAAAATAAGGTGAGAAAAATTATCTTTTTAAATAAATAATAGATAATAAATATTCTATTTTTAATTTCAATTTAGGATTTTATTTTTTTATTGATTTTTAAAAAAATGACAGCAGAATGCATTACAATTCTTGTTACACATATACAGCACAATTTTTCATATCTCTGGTTGTATATGAAGTATTTTTGCATCAATTCATGTCTTCATACATGTACTTTGGATAATAATGTCTATCACATTCCACCATCCTTGCTGACCCCCTGCTCACTCCTTTTCCCTCCCACCCCTATGCCCTATCTAGAGTTCATCTTTTCCTTCCATGCTCCCTCCCTACCCTACTATAAATCAGCCTCCTTATATCAGAGAAAATATTCAGCATTTGTTTTTTGGGGATTGGCTAACTTCACTTAGCATTATCTTCTCCAGTTACATACATTTTCCTGCAAATGCCATGATTTTATTCTCTTTTATTGCTAAGTAAAATTCCATTCTGTATATATTACATTTTTTTATCCATTCATCTACTGAAGGGTATCTAGGTTGGCTCCATAGTTTAGCTATTGTGAATTGTGCTGCTATAAACATTGATGTGGCTGTGTCCCTGTAGTATACTGATTTTAAGTCCTTTGGGTATAGACAGAGGAGAGGGACAGCTGGGTTAAATGGTGATTCCATTCCCAGATTTCCAAGGAATCTCCATAAAAGTAATAAGCTCTTGATCTCAATTTATATCACAAAATCATTCAATAAAAAGCTCAAGATGGTGGGGCTGGGGATATAGCTCAGTTGGTAGAGTGCTTGCCTTGCATGCACAAGGCCTTGGGTTCAATCTCCAGAACCAAAAAAAAAAAAAAAAAAAGCTCAAGATGGGAATCAAAAAGACCATGCAATTTGTAAACAGGATGTTTATTATACTCTCATTTTAAAGAATATACATACTCCCATATTTAAAAAAAAAAACAGGAATTATTTTTGGGAAAGAGGCAGGGGTGGTGATGGTAGTGGTGATAACAGAAACTTTAAAAGCACCTCCCTAAATTCTTTAAAAATCCATTAATATTTTGTTTGAGAATTTAATGGACATAGCAGCAGATCAAATTCCTGCTTTGCCACTTTCTCAGAATACATATTAAGTAGGTTACTTAATCTTTTAAAGCCATAATTTCTTCATCTTGAAAATAAGAATTGCAATATTAAATACCTCATATTATGGAATTACTTAATAAGCATTCACATAAAAAGCTCCAGGAACTGTGTGGAACAATATGACTTTGTTTGATTTCCCCCCACCCCAACACTTTTATTTTGAAATGATATAAATTTTACAGAAAAGTAACAAGAATAACATAGAAATTCATGTCTGCCCTTTACCCAAATTTATCACATTTACTTTTAGCATTCCATCTCTCTTTCTCTCTGAATATCTCTATATAAACATGCATTTATTTTATTCTGAACTATTTAAAAAAGTTTACATATATAATGTCCATTCTCTTTAATACTTGAGTGTATTTCCTAAAAGCAATGCTGTTCTTTTATGTAATCATTGTACACTGATCATATTTAGAAAATTTAAAACTGAGACAACACTTTTATCTAATTTATAGTCTATACTCTAATTCTGTCCAGTGTGCTAATAATAACTTTTATAGCATTTTTAAAAACTTCTAGTGTAGGATCCATTGTAGGATGACAGATTACATTTACTTGTAATGCGTCTTCAATCTTTCTCAGTCTGGAACACTTTTCTTAGCCTTTTATATCCATGACATTCATAGTATAATAAACATTAGATATCATAATTACTATACAAAAGTAAATTTGTAGTAATCCTTGCAATTAGCCTAGTTAGTCAAAAACGAAAACTACACATCTTAAATATTTTAGGGAACATCCTATAAAAAAGCAGGAGGAATTAAAAACAATCCAAATAAATCCTAGATCCCATATCCTATTTTATTTTTTATAGTACTCATAATGATCAGATAGTTTTATTAATATGCAGGCAGAATACTTTTAGAACAAGTATAAACCTTATCAGACAATTCTCCTTTGCTTCAATGTCTTCAGTCTTCTCAATGCTTTCAAGATTGAAGCCAAAATTCTTATCAGGAACTACTAGGGCCTGCGTGAGTAAAGCTCCATTCTCATTCCCACACTCTTCCTAAATCTATGTTCACTCATCACTTACATCCACCATTCACACCCTTTAGTGCCCACTCAGTACTAGTCCCTCTCTGGAACTCTTCCTTCAACTTAACCTTATAAAAACATTCTACTCAAGATACTAACTCTTGAGTTTGAATACAGTGGTGCACATCTGTATCCCCAGGGACTCAAGAGGCTGAGGCAGGAGGATCTCAAGTTTGGGGCCACAGCAACTTATAGAGATGCTGTCTCAAAATAAAATAAAATAAAATGGGCTGGAGATGTAGCTTAGTAGAAGAGTGCCCCGGGTTCAATCTCCAGTATCAAAAACAGAAATTAAAACTCAAATAAACAACTTACATTTAACCTCCCAGGTAATGTCTTTTTTGATCCCTAGATTGGATATGGTCTGATAAGGTCTCTGGTGTACTTTCCTATATGTATTTATAATTTTGTTTTGTGTGTGTGGTGCTGGGGATTGAACCCAGGGCAAGCACTTTACCAACTAAGCTATGTCCCCATCCCGTATTTATAATTTTTTAAATGGAGTGACTAATCAATGCCATTAATCTAAAAGCTGAGTAAGGGCAGAGACTGCCACATTTGATCATCACTATATTCTGTTTTTATAATACAGTAGCAACCATACATTAAGTACTCAACAAATATTCCTCCTCAGAAAAATGCACACTGTTTTTCTAGAAATTGTCAGGTTTTATGTACTCCCCTTGAAACTCACCTATGGATCATATTAATTAAGAACCTCTGATACTTTAGGAATGATTTAGGTTCAACACAACCACTGGTATGCTAGAGCCTACTAATACTGGCTTCTGAGAGCCAAATGTTAATTTTTTAGGAACTTTGCTGGTCATTATTAAAAACTAAATTATATATCCTTACAATTAAATAAGTTACACCAAAACCAGAGTAATAAATACTTAAAATTCATATTTTCCTAATTATTTACTGCATTTTACAATTACATATGTTCTTGAAACAGTAGTTTATCTCTCTCCTATCTACATGGTGAAAAAATTACATAAGCTGTACTACTGCTAATTTCTTTCCAATGCTGAATTCAATGATGTATTTAGTGAGGTTATACTGACAGAAATCAACCAATGTGCAATTATGCAAATGCTAGAAATCACTGCTTTTGTTCCATCTTCAAAGCAGTTAAAATTTTTTTCTTTTGTAGTTGTAAATGAACAGAATGCCTTTGTTTGTTTATTTTTATGTGGTGCTGAGGATTGAATCCAGTGCCTCATATATGCTAGGCAAGCACTTTGTCACTGATGTACAGCTCCAACCATAACTGTTAAATCTTTATCAGCATGTCACTAACTATAATGATTCTTGATAGTAAGTTTTATTAATTCCAGAATAAATAACCAAGAAAGTGACTGTTTATAAGCAATGTAATGAAACTTCCTCAACAGTTCTGCTAACTATACTTTGATGACTCTACATGAATTAGAAAAGAATAGACATATATCCATGACTTTTATGAATTAGTTTTTTGTTAAGGCATTTTAACACAGATTTATTACACAAACATTTTGCTGGGCATGGTGGTGGTACATGCCTGTAATTCCAATGACTTGGGAGGCCAAGCAGAAGGATGATGAGTTCAAAGCCAGCCTTAGCAACTTAGCAAGACCCTGTCTCAAAATAAAAAAGGGATAGGGATGTTGCTCAGTGGTAAAGCACTTTGGGGTTAAATCCCCAGTACCAAAACAAACAAACATTTTGAAACAATAATAATGATACAATTGATAATTAAATCAGTTCTGGAATTCAAGAAATATACTATTACATCAGGGAATGCTGCAATGTTTTTACTATATTCATTTATAAATAGTAGGAGTAGTAGTATTTCAGAAATTATGTTAAATTGAAATTGTGGCATATGTTGTAATCCTAGCTAAAGGTTAAATATATGCTAACTATGAAAAATATAGATAAATAAGTAAACTCTGGAATTCAAGACAAAATGAAAACTACTCAGCAAAAATGTATTAAAATCTAATTTGTTAAAGGGACAGAAAAAAAAGGCTTCCTCCTATACTACCAGGTTAAGATACAGGGAGAAAAAAGATGGTTAATGAGAATGGATCTATGAGTAAAAAGTGTCAAAATAAAATGATTCAGCTACGAAAAATAGAAGGGACAGGATTCCAAGGATGGAGAATTGGTATAGTTGAGAGGAGTTTGCTATAGTTGTTAGTTAAGTTTGTGGGCTCAATAGCTAAAACCAATTGGGTCCCAGCTAGTCTTCACCAATTATTAATCAGCTCACTTCTGAGAATTAATTAATGTAATATGTGAATTATTCAAAATAATGCCTTTCATAGTCAACTATCAATAAATACTAGTAGTGATGATGATGTTGGTCACTAGGTAATACCACTTGTCAATGATAAGTTAGTAGATATGAGAGGCTGGGAGTCGTGATTTGTAGGGGAAATATTTTTTGAGTACAGTACAGGAAAGTTTCTGAATGGTAAGTATAGATACTCCATACTTCAAAGAGCTTATGTAAATAGATTCTGAAGAGCTTAAGTTAATCAATTCTAAAAGCAATGAAAATATTTTAATGTGCAAAGTTTTCCCTTCATTTGAAAGAAATTCCAGGGTAAGAATTTATAAAAGGAAAAAAGGGGGATAAGGGGGGTGGGGGACTGTGGTCATTAAACTAAATCTTCTAAAGATGTGTTCTATTTTGGGAAATATAGAGCAAAGCTCCCATCATAAAATTACTGTACTGTTTGCCAGAAGTTTTC